GTACGTAGGCAGGTGCCCAGCATGTAATAATAAGCGGCTGCCTTCCGTCGCCTCTGCCGCCCACCTTCCCGTCCTCGCTGTCTCTCCCGTTGACCGCTGTCCTGCTGCCGCTGCCGGGCCGACTCCGGTAAGGGTCTGTACGGTTGACCAGGAGTGTCAGGTCTATTTTGCATTTCGCACTTGCGTTTGGCTGAGGGCACGCCGTGAGTTCGAATCCCGATGAGAGCAACGGGCAAGAGGCCGTGGGAACGTCCCGGATACTGCCGTACCCCTGTTGTCGCTGTGCTCGACGTTGCCCGACGCATTGTCGACGCTGTTGTCGGCGACGTCGACGAAGGTTGCGCTGAAACTCCCAAACAAATACTGAAAAAATTGTAATCCTTCTGAACAGGCATAGATTTGCAACTATTAGGGTGTAAATGTCTAGACATGTTTAGGTGTTGTGTGAAAGTTTGCCCTCGAAGAGTGTGCTGGATAGTGTGGCCATATTAGATTTGTCTTGTTGAAGTTCATCGTGGGTCGCGTCACAGATACCACACCACCGCATTTATTCTGCCGCTATTTGTACTCATCTACTGTCCATGCAGCATTTGCAGCTAACAGAGCACACATGTTCCTGAAGCCCGCAAGGCTGGCCAAGGGTGTGTGGCAGACGCCACAATTTCCTTCCCACACTTGCCGACTACCTAATGCGGTAGCAGGTCGGGACCGTCGAACATGCGCGTGTTTGCTCCCTTGCAATTCGCCACGACGGGTTACTAGTAGTATAGGGGGAATGCGCAACGGCGTCGGATATGGATTAGTTTCATTGACATTGGCGCGCATGTCAATGCTCCCTATCTCAATTGTAGAGTTCGTCTTAATATTGAACGCACCTCTTGACTCGCAACGTTGATTGTGCAACGACTTCTCGCATAGCTCCTCAAATGAACAGAATAATTGATATTAAATAGGTTGGTACAATAAGCTCAGAAGGAACCGATTTTTTCCGTGTATTTTTAGGAATATTCATCGCTTAACATTCGTCGACATCGCCGACAACAGCGTCGACAACGCGTCGGGCAACGTCGAGCACAGCGACAACAGGGGTACGGCAGTATCCGGGACGTTCCCACGGCCCCTTGCCCGTTGCTCTCATCGGGCTTCGAACTCACGGCGTGCCCTCAGCCAAACGCAAGTGCGAAGTGCAAATGCAAAATAGACCTGACACTCCTGGTCAACCGTAGTCTGGGAATAGACCCCAACCCTAGGGCGCGGGCCACGTGTTATGCATGGCGTCACCACCGCGGCGGTTCTTCGGCGCTGCATCCCGCCTTCGTCGCTGTCGGCTGTTGCCCGTCGTCGCTGTCGCCGACGATGACGGCGGCTACAGCACTCGTATGTAGTCGTAAAAATGTGCAATAAATTCCGTTAAATATAGTAGATTCGTATGATTATGATTCTTCATCTACGCTGTCGTTGCGAGGCGCTGTCGACCGTTATCATAGTCGGAAACCTCGTGCTCACTACTGTCTAAAACTGCGGCGTCGACGCATGCACTGAGGCTCAGAAAAATAATTTACAGCATGTACTGGTATCCCTCTGATACAGTTACAGACACTTCATACACACATATTATGTGTATAGAGCGAATACTCACCTATGTCTTAGAGCATATGCCACAACTAGACACCAGCAGCAGTAGGGGCTCCAATTGCAGTCGAATACTATTAGTATCTCACCATTCAAGTTGTATACCAGTGAAATAACACAAGAGCGTGCCATGAAAGCGACCCTGGCAAGCCTGCTAAACAGGGAAAACTACACAATAGGAGAGGGAGAATCAGACCATAGGAACAATGGGAAGTAGAAGCGGAAAACGAACAGAAGATGGTGAAAAATACTGTTTATATATCACGGCCTGTAATGCCTTCCTATGTACTCCCAAACCACGGATGAACTGCACAATGGAAGGGAGAAGGAGAGGACAGGGCGGCAGAAGTACAAGCAAATTGGCAGTAAGCACTCACCATCATCCACAGACCAAGTTCCATAGCATTGCATCCTCTCCACGAGATTCAACAACGAGGAGGATACAGAGAGGCCGGGCGATGTGAAGAGGAGATACATGGCTGCGTATCGAAGACATGCTGCCCCAGTTCATACGACGGAGTCTACGAGTCAAAGTAGTAACAGTAGTTATCCATCTGGCACGGTTTCAATGCAGTATAGACGGTTACTTACCACAACGTCCGCCTGATGTCCTGACCGTCAGCGCATGCATTCATTGAGAGAAATAAGCCTAAGACGATTCCAGCAGACTACAAGACATATATCAGATATTGCCAGCGAGACAACCAGATGAATTAGCCCGGTGGAACGGCTGGTACGGTAGAGGAAGAGGCGCCGTTACCCAGGCGTGACGACAAGCAGTGTAGGCATGAATTCGGACGGAATGCGGACGGCGCTGTGGCTGAGTTTCCTCCGCGCTCTCATCTATACTCCTCTCTGGGACTCTGCTCTCTAAATTCGCGGCTGGCGGCTTACATGCTTACATGGGCGTTGCGACTGTTCTGAATGTGACGAAGCCTCCAAAGGGCTCTATGACTACTTGGAAGCTCACGAGTGCGCCGGGCGAAGGGCGCCGGGGTATGCTTGCATATTGCGGCTGCAGCAATGACGCTGGAAGTGTTCTCATGATTTTGTAAGTTGTCAGTCATTTGACGAAAGCTTATTGTTTTGATCGTTGCCTATGCTGTCGCCCCCTGGTACGATTACTTTTGCCGTCTTATTTGATTGCTATCAATTGATATGCCATCGCCGTCTGTGTCTCTGCGCCAGCTATCGCTTGCCCACCATCTCCTTCGATGATCTTACCATTGAATCACCCTCGTCAGAGGATCCCTGGGCGTCGCTACAGCATGGATCAGTCTTGGATGGCCCTGGGCAAGGCTTTCTATCCACTCAGCCTCAGCTAGCCATACGATGCAATGAGCATCACAATCATTACAGGTATGTATGTCAGTGCAATCATATATCTTCCTGCCTCTTTCCCCTCATTTTCCATGTTTTTGACCGCTCTGTTCGTTCCCTATCTCATTTCCTTTCTTCCGTGGGTTATCCCTGAGCACCTAGCTTTCTAGGGCTATCGCCTGACAGTGCCTTCATGCAGGACAGCTGGAATATGACTATGTGACCAATCGTATATGAGTACCTGACCTGGGTTGCTACCGCTACTACTGTCTGTTTCTGCTCCATGCACAGTCAAACAGTGGTGAATACTTGCATGTAAGCACTAGTTCGGTGCGTATCAAGCGTTTTCTATGTGGTATAACACATATTGCTAGTTGACTATGAACTTATCACGCCTTGAGACTGTATATGAGGGGTAGACGCCACCGACATTTGTAACAGTGAGTGCACTGCTTAAGGCAATGTTGCCGGTCAATGGAGGCGTTGTAATGGCAGCGTAGATGAAGAATCATAATCATACGAATCTACTATATTTAACGGAATTTATTGCACATTTTTACGACTACATACGAGTGCTGTAGCCGCCGTCATCGTCGGCGACAGCGACGACGGGCAACAGCCGACAGCGACGAAGGCGGGATGCAGCGCCGAAGAACCGCCGCGGTGGTGACGCCATGCATAACACGTGGCCCGCGCCCTAGGGTTGGGGTCTATTCCCAGACCCTTACCGGAGTCGGCCCGGCAGCGGCAGCAGGACAGCGGTCAACGGGAGAGACAGCGAGGACGGGGAGGTGGGCGGCAGAGGCGACGGAGGGCAGCGGTTAATATACATGCTGGGCACTGCTACGTACACTAGATACGTATACAAGGGACTCTGGCTTGCAAGTTAGAGAGTACAGGTGGGGTAGGAAACAGATGGGGCATTAACGTGGGGTGGGCAAATAAGGTTTCCAAGCCTAACTAGGCTCGCGACTCCGTCTACAGTCGCAAGCCTAGTTAGGCTTGTTTCTGTCGTCACCCGGGTGGGTATGTGATGAACCAGGACCCCCGATAATCATTATAAATGCCTGATCCCGAGGACCCATAAGTAGACCCATTTTGTCCGGAAGAAAATCGCCGATTTTGGACCTTTTGTCCGGAAAAAAACAGGCATCACAGCGAAAAAGTCGCTCTAAAAGGCAGCTATGGCGGGGGTACGTCTAAATTTAGCTTCGCCGGCAGGTGCCGGGGTAAATATGGCGTCGAAATGGCCAAGTCTGACCAAAATGTCCGGAAAAAAATCAGGCCTGTTCTCCAGAATCGGCCGATTTGTCTGTGAAAAATCAGCCATTGAGGGCTCTAAAGTCCCAAAATTTGTCCGGAACCTGATCAGGCATTTATACCAATTATCGGGGGTCCTGATGAACCCGGTACCGAGGGCGCCAGAGTGTAGCACCGTGGCGACACATCGGTCTCTTGGGATCTGGAAACTCCCACTAAGACGATAACAAGTGGGCGCTGTGCCATGCTGTGAGTCTTATCTTCGTCTTCACACTGAGTTCGCACCTATGTAGCTCGAGGGAGATCCACCGCTCCAACCATCTATCCTGACGCTCTCAAGCTCAGTTCTTTCACTCCCAGGACGCCCATGGCATCCCCCGACTGTCCATAAGTCGACCCTACCGTTTCACGCATTCCCCCTTCTTGCTCACGCTGATGGACGAGACGTCAACTTACAGAGTGCGGTCCAATGGAGACGTGTAATCATGCTGGGGAGATTCTCGGGCCCTCGATCGGATGCTTCGGACATGTTCGCCTCATCCTAGTCTCCTTTGGGTCTGCCGTCCGCGACTCTATTGATTGACGACATCGTACAATGTACATTTGGCCTGATATATGCGTATTTACCACGAGTCGTAAATGCGCAGAAATGCTGCGTGCGGCTTTAGAGGTAGAGATCATCACCAGAGTGAGAAGAACGCCGAGAGAAGGGTCCCTCAACTGGAAGTGCATCGGGCGGCTAGACTCGATAGGCTCACGCCATTTCGCACCCCAGCAATTTGAGCCTTCGATTTTCCACGCCTGATCAGATAAAACCGGACGCGACCCGCCTCAGCTCATTCATCTCTTTTCACCCACCATCCTCCGTCCTCTCTCTGCAGCCAAGATGGTCCTCTCGAGCGTTCTGGGTTTCCCCCGCATCGGTGTGTCACCTTTTCTGTTTGAAATACGATAGCAGAGAGACTAAGCAGGCTTTAGGTGCTAACCGTGAGGTCAAGAAGGCCGTCGAGGCGTACTGGGGGGGTAAAATTTCAGCCGACGAGCTAACCAAGGTCGCGGCCGAAGTCAAGAAGTACAACTGGACGAACATTAAAGCGCGAGGTGTAGATCTCATCCCTAGGTAGGTCACCGCACGTTGTGCTCGACATTGAATCTTATCTGACGCCCGACCGGCAGCGGCGAGTTCTCCCTCTACGACCACGTCCTTGACCACTCCGCGTCGTTCAACGCGATCCCCAAGCGTTATCTGGGCCATGGTCTGTCCGACCTTGACATTTACTTCGCCATGGGCCGTGGTCGTCAGGCCGAGGGCGTCGACGTCCCCGCTTGCGAGATGAAGAAGTGGTTCGACTCCAACTACCACTTCGTCGTCCCCGAGCTTTCGGACGAGACCGACTTCAAGCTCAAGTTCAACAAGGCCGTTGAGGAGTACAAGGAGGCCAAGGCTCTCGGTGTCGAGACCCGCCCGGTCGTGTTGGGCCCCGTCTCCTACCTCGTACTCGGTAAGCCCGCGAGGGAGGCCAAGCCCGGCTTCCAGCCGATCTCCCTCCTGCCCAAGCTGCTCCCCATCTACAAGCAGCTGCTGTCCGAGCTGAAGGCTGCCGGCGCTCAGTCCGTCCAGATCGACGAGCCCGTCCTCGTCCTCGACACTGCTGCCTACCTCGAGAAGCAGTACGCTACTGCTTACGCTGAGCTCGCCCCCGTAGCGCCCAAGATTATCCTCACGACCTACTTCGGTCGTCTCGACTCCAACTTGACCTTCGCTGCTAAGCTCCCGGTTGCCGGTCTCCACATCGACCTGGACCGTGCTCCTGCTCAGCTCGATGACACCTTGGCTGCCGTGAAGTCCACCTCCTTGATCCTGTCTCTCGGTGTCGTCTCAGGCCGTAACATCTGGAAGACCGACTTCGAGGCTGCCATCAAGTTGGGCCAGAAGGCCATCGATACCCTCGGCTCTGACCATGTCATCATTGCCACTTCCTCTTCCCTTTTGCATACTCCTGTCACCCTCGCGTCCGAGAACAAGCTGTCGGAGGAGGTGAAGAGCTGGTTCTCCTTCGCTTTGGAAAAGGCTGCCGAGGTTGCTGTTATCGCTTCCGTCCTCAACGGCTCCCAGGACTCTGCCGTTGCCGCTGCTCTCGAGGACAACAAGAAGTCCATTGCTGCTCGCAGGGCGTTCGAGAGGAACTCCAACGACGCTGTCAGGAAGCGGGTTGCCGCTATCACCCCTGACATGCTGAACAGGAAGAGCCCCTTCGCCGTTCGCTTGGAGGTTCAGAAGAAGAAGCTGAACCTGCCCAAGTTCCCCACCACCACCATTGGCTCCTTCCCTCAGACCAAGGAGATCCGTACGGCTCGTGCCAAGCTCAATAAGAACGAGATCTCCCAAGCCGAGTACGACAACTTCATTGAGAAGGAAATCGAGAACGTCGTGCGCTTCCAGGAGAAGGTCGGCTTGGATCTCCTCGTTCACGGTGAGCCCGAGCGTAACGACATGGTCCAATACTTCGGTGAACAGCTCGAGGGCTTCGTCTTCACCCAGAATGGTTGGGTGCAGTCCTACGGCTCTCGCTACGTTCGTCCTCCCATCATCGTCTCCGACGTCAGCCGTCCCCACCCTATGACCGTTCGCTGGTCTGCATACGCCCAGAGCGTTACCCAGAAGCCCATGAAGGGTATGTTGACTGGCCCGGTTACGATCCTCAACTGGTCGTTCCCTCGTGCCGATGTCTCCAGGGAGTTGCAGGCCAAGCAGCTCGCCCTTGCTCTCCGGGATGAGGTTATCGATCTCGAGAAGGCTGGCATCAGCGCCATCCAAGTCGATGAGCCCGCCATTCGTGAAGGTGTACGTAGCTTGCTGCAACATATTTGCTGGATACATGCTAATACTATTGTCACATAGCTTCCTCTCCGTCGCACCGACTGGGACGCCTACCTTACCTGGGCCGTCGACTCCTTCCGTCTGGCCACTGCCGGTGTTACCGATGCTCTCCAGACCCACTCTCACTTCTGTTACTCCGACTTCGGTGACATCTTCCCGTCCATTCAGCGTCTCGACGCCGATGTTATATCGATTGAGGCCTCCAAGAGCGACATGAAGCTCTTGCAGACCTTCAAGGAGTACGGCTACTCGAACCAGATCGGGCCTGGTGTCTACGACATCCACTCTCCCCGTGTCCCCAGCGAGCAGGAGATCAAGGACCGTATCGCTGCCATGTTGGAGATTCTCCCTGACCACCTGCTCTTCGTCAACCCTGACTGTGGTCTGAAGACCCGTGGCTGGAAGGAGACTGAGGGTATGTGTTTACGCAGTGTTCTTCGGCTCTCAGAGACTGATAATCCTTTTTCTATAGCCTCTTTGTCCAACCTTGTGGCGGCTGCTCGTTGGGCCCGCCAGCAATACGCCTAAATGCACAATCCTTGCGCTTCAACAGCGCCCGCAAAACGGCTGGACTGAGATCTTTCATCGGATCTCCGTCTTTGCCTTGGGTACATAGTTGACGGCGATATTTATCAAGGTAACGCCAGGCGGCGTCGCGCAGAGGGCGCATGAATGCTGCTATGCGGCTCGCTGAGCGCCTCCGAGTTGATTGCGGGGCAGGAGCTTTTGCGTGGTTCAGCCTAGTAGTGTTGGATTTCAACAATCCGAAGTTGTGAGGATATTCGCAGTTTGTCTTGCATGTTTAGATTTTGCAATAAATCTGGCATACATAATGGTCCTTGTGCGTAGCACGACAACTGAGGAACATGACTATGAATTACAAGCATCAACTGTCCTCCATAGCTCTATCACTGGTCTTCTCGTGGTTAACAAGTGGAGTGTCGTCCATGCTTGTGCCTGTTGCACTTCCTCGTCGGTCCAATGACAGACGACCAGCAACAGTGTCGGTGGTGTCTTTGGGTTCCGCCGCCGACTCTGCAACCGTCATACCCTCGAGGTCGCGTGTGCCCTCCGGATGCGTACTCAGAGCTACGCGTAACCGCTCTTGCACTTCTTCTGTTCGTCTTGTCTTTTGGCCACCGCGCCAGATGAAGACTCCTGAAAATATGCCACACAGGAAGCTGGCCGGGATAAGGATACCGGTACTCCATGCTGGACGTTCGAATCTATGTTATAGGGATCAGCGGATGCCATACTGATAGCGACTGTAGTGTCTTCACCGATTGAGTCCCCACATCGTACCGCATAGAATGATCTGAAGTGTCATAACTTAGATTCTACCCCGGATATGCGCTCTTGAATCTGGCGGCTCACCTGGAAGAGCGAGTTGCCGTCTATCAGGCAGCAGATGAGCAAGGCGGTGCTAACCCGGATGGTCTCTCAACACTAATGAAGAGTCAAGAGACAGTACCACCTACTTGATAGGGAATGCCTGCGGTAAGGCGCCGTGAATATTGAGCAGTGAACCGGAGTACAAGCATCCTAGTCACTCACTCGATGTGTGTCGGTCCCGTGAGGTCTGTACCACGTTTGCGACTTCATGAATTTAATTTGTTCTGATGAAACGAAGTCTGAGTCTGAGGTTCTGCGTCAATGTATGCCTTGCTAGATACTCACGATAATGTAGATCCGCTTGCTCTTCGTCAGTAAGAACGTGTACATAATTTACGTCATAAATAGGGTCTGGTAAGTCGTCTTCGTCGATGAGTTCTGGCAAGCCTGCCTGTTTTCTGAGTCTTCTTGTTTTGCGTTTGTAATACCAGATTCTGGCTATCCCTGCAGGCAACAGTCAAAACAAGCAGCAAGTGCCAGAGGATATCCATACGGTAGGTGTCCATGGCTCGGAAGGGTATTAAGCCTATGCCCGTCGCGGTGAATAAACCTGGGTGGACAATGAGCACATTAGTATCACGAAGCACTACAAGACAAGAACAGTCTTACCGTTTTCCACTTGCGAAGACACCTCTACCCAGAAACCTTGCGTGTTCGCGTTGTGAAAGTTGATGATCTTCAGTAAGAAGATAACAATGGCGGCACCCCAGAACGCTGAGAATCAGATGAGCAAATGTTGGCATAAGCATAGTCGGTTAGATGAGCATACCGACGAGAAACCCGTAGACTGCCGTGATAAACTAGGGTTTCAGCGTTCAGTTGACCAAGTCCGAACTTAATCTAGGCCTGATGTTGGCTTACCCCCAGAGCTGCGACGATTTTCAGTGTTAATTCACATGGTCCATTGTCTAGAAATATCAAGAGACGTACGTGTTTTCACGAAGGCCCATACTCCCTTCATCGTCCTCTTAAAGACCTGCCGCTTGGAGAGAACACTTTCGACGTGATGATCTAGGTCGTCCATATGCGACGCTCCACGAGACTTCTCCACATCCTCAGCACCGAGAGCAGGAGATTGCGGTAAGGACACTATGGGTTTGCGTGAATAGAGAGATAGGGGCGGACTGGCGGGAGAGAGCATAAGTATTAGCATATCCTGAGATTACGCATGCATATAATGACACTTACATGAGGATGGCGTTGGCGGCATTGGTGAGGGAGGAAACCGTCCCTATTTGAGGGTCTGACAGATCCTCAGAACTGCATGGCCCTGTAGTCGCACGTTAGAGGAGCACACACCGATCGCATCCAAGTGTTCGACGATGTCATCTTCATGATGTTCGCCTCCTAAGCTTGAAGCACCATCGTTCAAGGAGGAACGGACGCTCAGAGCACTGCCCACACGTCCGGGGAGCTGGCCCGTCCGAACGAGTACGTCTACTTGCGAGCCCTCTAGAGATACAACTCTTTGTCTTGGAGTTCCAGCCGCATCAGGTACATCATTCTGACCCCTGCCGGCAGAGTACCTAGACTTCCAAGTCCCATTCAATATGTGATTGGAGACTTTGCTCTTGAGAGGATGCTGGGGTTCTGCGGCGATGGTTCCCGGTTCGCTCGTAGTCCTGGATCGGCCAGAAGTGCTTACGGCTTGGCTGGGCTCTATAGGGTTTTCACCGGTAGGAGCTGAGCTAGGGAAAAAGAGGGCCACAGTACTCCTCCGAGGTCGCGTTCTTGAGGGCACCGCAATCCCCTCCGGTATATCATCGTCGCGTAAAGAGGAGTATGTTCCCCGTCGCACTCTTATGGACGGCATGCTGGTCAATGGCAAGTCTTAGAGCAGCCAGGAGGCCTGATGCTGAAGCTAGACAAGACCGAACATAGAGATAGATAGGCGTGGCAGACAGGCCCTAGGTTGGTGGTCTACTGCAGGGACGCAGCTCCAATTATAATCCAGCCTGTCAATACAGTCTATCACGTGGGTGGCGCCCTCTACTAGTACGCTGCAGTCTGCCCCTCGCACTCATGAAATATGCTGGATCCTGTGGATATCCGTCATGTATCACGACCCTAGCAATGGCTAGCATGCATGCGCATCGAGACTTGCTTTACGGCGTCATGCGTAACGTGCGGAACGTAATGAGGCGGGAGTGGCTGCTGTCGGTACCATTCGAAACCGTCGGACCGGTGCCGCAGCCACAATATTCGCCACAGGCTTCCACAGCTTACTCACTACTGCTTATCCTACGTCCATCAGTATGGACTACAGACCTCGCCATCCACAGCCATTCACGCTTACCGAAGCCACACAGCTCGAGGTGCCGATCATAACCGAAGGTTGAGCTGCATTCGCGCTCTGGACATGCTCGTCGTGATCGCCTGAACTGCCCTCACAGAGATCGCGCGTCTGCAGAACTCGCTGAGCCACCTCCAACGGACTCAAGATGAACTGAAAGAACACATAACTGCGACTGAGGCGGGAGATACCGTCTTGGAAGAAGCCTACACGGATAATTCCAGAGTAATGTAAGCTCGTCTCTGCAGATACCCTGGAATACTGACGGAAATTGCAATCATTAGAGCGTCCCAGCAAGAACGGATAGCTATCTTGAAAATGGCATTGTCCAACAAGGGCATCCCATATTCAAGTCACTATGACATTGGTTCCCAGTCCCAAGGCACTGGGCGCAGCAGTCCAGGAGCTCCAACGACTCATGCCATGACAGAACGTTCCGCAGACGACAGAGGGATTGACTTGTAATTGCAGATCAAGACGAAGACCTCTCCAAGTACTGGAGCAGAAAGAACGTAGTATTGTATTTCTATCTCCATCGCCTAGTCCGGTGATACTGTCTTAATATTTATGGATACAATGCTAAGGGTTTAAGATACCGATTGATATAGTACTCTACGAGATTTAGAGAAAATTCGAGGAACTTGAAGCAGAAGCCTTTATACACCCAGTCTGTTGGAAATACGGTCAGCACTGGTAGGACTAGCTGGCATCGTCAACCTGGCACATACTTTCGTTTACTATGTTCGTATACAACGTATGATATCGAGACCGCTGGGACGACCTATAAAACAGTCAGAAAAGCACCAGGGGCATCTAGAACATACGTACCTTCGCAAGAGTCGGGAGCAGTCCACGGTAGAACCCTCTCCATCCATCCCTTTGATACGTTTTTGTCGCCACGTCCAATATGCCAGTATACCGCTCTGGATGTCCCGAAGACCCAGAGGCTTGTAATCGTGTCCGCACTAAATTCAGTGGGTACACGCTCGTGGCACCGACACTACCAGAGACACTGCCGAAGGCCAGAGTAGCAAGCACCCCGGGCTCATCCTTACCCGTCGAACGTAGGTACGCCAGTTTCAGAGCCTCGAACGTACTCATGTCAATAGCGGAATACCTGTCAAACCGTCAGAGTGTGTCCGATCGAATAAGGACATCTGCCTACGGAAAGACACCGATGAGACCTATCTACGATTAAATCAGGAGTACGTCTCGATACGACATACGCAGTACACGCACTGTTAAGCCTCGATAATACGCTCGAATGCCTCCAAGTTGCCATACGCGCCGAGCAGCACCGATCAATGTCCGCCTCTGCTCTCCCGTCGAGCTCATCATTTGAGTCTACGTACATGCGTTAAAAAGTGTTCATTCTGGCATTCACAGAGAACTGTACCTTCAACGTTTCGATGGGATAGATGGCTATGATGTAACGCTCAGGGGAAAGAAATCGTAGGCATCAGCGCAGTTACTCACAGAGCTGACTGGTAATACCGCCTATACCACCAGATAAGAATCGGCTGACGCCGGTAATTTCTCTTGAATCCTCTACATGGTCCACGTATTCGGCAAAGAATCGTTTCTAAGTCGGTGACTTATTAGGAGAAGGAAGGTCTCGATATGTGTAAGACTAACCGAGGACTCGTATGCAAGGAATTTGATCGCAGACTCTGGAAAGATCTTGGCTACCGACAGACCATTGCCGACCCAAAACCCTCGGATGCCTGATTCGGCGTATATACGAGCAACGGCATTACCTATGGCCTTCACACCCCTTACAGGCGCTGCAGGGCTCAGGGATGTCCCACCCATTTCTGGAGGACGAGTGATCAGGAAAATCTTCAAACGGTCAAAGGGAGCAGTGCATGTTCTTGAGACTGACATAGACTGTACGGTGAGTAATGGCAACCTAGCACCCTAAAGACGACCACTCACCAGCACCGGCGATGCCGCCCGCCAGTAAGAACTTGACTGCAGTGGTTCCCCCGAGCCAGCTGTGGTGCTCCTCCTCATACTCTTCTGGAGCCAGATTGTCGTCGTCCTCGTCCCCAGAAGATTCAAGGGCATAATCTACAAGCTGATCCCGACCAGTATGAGCTTTGTACCCAATGGGTGCTGCATGAGGGCGGTCTTCCGCGCTCAAACTGACGTCGCCTTGCCGAACGTAAGCAGAGAGCACCTCAAGTTAGCAGTGACAAAGACAAACCTTCCATATTCACTCTCGCCGCTCCTCGCCTGTCGTCATCCAAGTATCGCTTGACTTCGTAGAAACGATAGATTTCGGCTGTCGATGCTTTTCGGGGCATGAGCAGGAGGAAGTCGCGAAACTCTCGAAAGTTTATGGAGTGAGAGTGTGGGGACTGCGTCAGTGAGGTCATGAACTCAGACATTGTAGACGGTGACATCTCGATGCCTACATTGATGTATGAGCGCATACACACAGGGAGGCCAGTACAACTCACCAGCCTTTCTCAAAGCTACCTCAAGTTCTTCTGCGTCCAAATGTCCATTGCCATCAAGGTCTAGCTCATCATGGAAGATGGACCATAACTCTAGCAAGGGTTCAGGTATGCTTCGATATAAGTCGGAACGTACAGGCATGGCCGCACATACCAGCTTCCTTACGCTCTGCATATCGCTTGAACTCCTTCCACCCAATATGAGGGCGGATGGAGCCCAAACCATGACTATTACACGAGCCCACGAGTTCATCCTCGTACATCTCCTGGAGCTTCTTCGCGCGCTCCGGCGTTAACGAGGCATCGTCCATCACGGGTATCGACTTCGAGATGGCCTCGTCATCGATATTGCCAAATGTTCGTTTGGGCAAGCGTCTCCATAGCTCGCGAAACCTTCTGTCGCGTTCCTCTTCGCCCTCCTGCTGGCGGAACTCGAGGAGGCTGTGAGGCAAAGGGTGGTAAGGAGGAGGGTCGGATCTTAGGCGAGGTATGAATGGCCGTTCCTGCGCGCCCGATAAGCTCGCCTCGAATATATCTCGATTGCTGGGCCCGGGTATGTTGTCTATTTGAACCATTGGCAGGGTAGATAGATAATTCCAGTACTGGACGCGTCGAAATTCGGACTTATTCTTCTACGACCAGTCCGGGGGATATATGTGCTGACTTTAGTGGTATGGAGAGCCTGCTCTCAGAGTCTCATAACTGGAAAGCTGAGCCCTGATAGTAAAGGAGGAGAGGAGACTGAGTGGGGATTTGTACCAAGTCCGAGGGTGCAGCAGGAGGACGTCACACTTGCCCAATCAAGGACGCGAGATTCGTGCGGCTTAGATGCGGCTTGCCATGTGGCAAAGTGTGGCATTACCGAGGCACTACAATCGTCAGATGCGATCGTGTACTATGCTACAGGTCATTATTGGCGTACAGCATGATGCTAGGTAAAGTATATGGAATCCGGGGAAGAAAAGACGAACGGCCAAGCGTCCGCGCAGAACTTACATCGGAACGTGAATGCTGCAGAGAGCACCTTACTCCTTGACCATCCAGGTCTGACCCCAGCGTCTGAACCGATTCCACAGGGACAACATAGCCAGTAAAGGTGTGGAGTGGGGGTTGTCAATCAAGGTGACGGTGGACGCCTTTGAGAGCCGCTTGCGGTTCACGGGCGGGAGCCCGGGTAGGTCGATCTGTTTCGCCTGCGGTGGATTATATTTCGAGCGGTCCGAGCCTTTGCGCGGCACACAAAGTAAGTTAGACCACCAAGGAGCAGAGGACTTGACTGCATCGCGACGTACGACAGTCTTCGTCAGTGATAGGCTCGACTTGGATTTCTTGAGAGGGCTCGGGCCAGGTAGAACCACGGGAAGCACCGGAACATCCCAGCCCGCAATAGACTGAGTTCGGGGTAGAGTAGCATATGAAAGGTTGACTGTGGAGGGAGGGAAAGAGCGGAGGACCACAGTGTCCCGGTGACCCCAGGCTGTAGGTGTGTCAGGGTATACCTAAAAATACTGAGTATTCCAAACGTCGCGATATAAGGAGAAATAACACACCGTACGGTACGGCTCCACTAGCGGCACAGGTACATGGTCGTTCTCGTCTTGTAGGCGACGTTTCCTGTAGTGTGTAGGGAGCGGCGGAGTTGGGGGGCGATACATCTTCATCGCACCGCCAGTCAGCCAAACAACAACAACCACGGTCAACGCGACGTACACGATGCAAGTGCTTATGACCTCTCGCCGGTTCCCTCTGTGGCGTCGAAGCTGTATGTGGTCGGGGCGGCAGTCCATCACGGCTGCGCTCCTCGTGTTGATAAATACTTATGCGTCTATTCGTTCTGTCCGCGAGATGTCGACGAAAATCCAGCGTCGATGCGGAAGCGGATGTGAATCCTGTGGAATCAAACTCCCATCGAGGGTCGGGCGTGGGCGAGGTAGGCCGTGTCCACACGTCACCGACGCTGGCGTCCCAGCCGCCACCGTACGCGACCATGGGGTCGCTCTTATGCCATCGGTCTTTAGTCAGAGCCCGTTCAATGGCTTCGCGCCAGTCAACAGGGAGCTAAACGAACAAGCTCAGCCCTACAGTGGTAAGAGCATAGATACCTGAGGCACGCACAGGAGGTATATCTTCATGGGATGTCCCTGTAAGTGGCAGGGGTCGGTTTGCGGGAGAAGAGGGAGGCGGCGACGGTGGAGGAGAGGGTATGAACTGGGGAACTGGCTTGCGCCAGCTCATATCCTTTCCACGACTTGATGTTCGCTCATGTGTGGCTGAGGGTGGCACATATGAAGAAGGCGGATGCGATGATTTCATAGGCATACTGAGCAGAAGATACAGAGACCGGCAATCAAGAATAATAATAAAGAGGAAGAGAAAGCGCAGAGCGGACAGAGATGGGGAGGACGAGGGGGCAGCCGTAGTGCGGACAGAGGTGAAGGGCGGAGGCAGAGATGCCCAAAGCCCAGGAGCAGCGGCGGGAGGATAAGGGCGTTCACTTGGAGCACGCACGCCAACAGGATGGACGCAGGCTCAGCTTAAATATGGAGTGTGGCTGCATCCTCGAAGCGCGCCTCGGGGGCTGCGGCCACACCCATGCTTGCCGCTCATTGTTCCGCTCACGGACCTGTGCTGCTGCTGAGCGACAGTAAACGGACTAACCCCAAAACTTGTTTTCCATATAGAAATAACCTCCAAGAGGATTTCGCGTAAAGAGACTCGCTGGTCCGAATGTGAGATAGACGCGTGTAGGAGGTAGATTAGGCGGACCGACGGCAGGCTCAAGACCACGTTTAGCAGCAGCATACCGGCGCGACAAACCGCTGTTTCCTTAGAAGACGATATGTTTTGTTCTGGCCTGGGCGTTTTCAGACAGGTAGATTGAACACGACAAGGCCTCGCGGTTTCCACGATTTGATCTCTTCCCATTCTGATTTCCCGGACGCGGAGCAAGTCTTTTCATATCTTCGAATCAAACGCCCTTGGATTACGAGAAGTGCCGGCATGAGCGTATCCTGCTAACATCGGCTGAGGTGTAGGTGGAAGGACAAGATGCACTTCCTTTCATTGGCATGGTCTAAACGCGTCTGTGGCGGTGACCTGACGCCACACTCGCCCCGCCACGAGGCTACGTACCGCAATCGTGGCGAAGCTCGTCCCAATATCTTGACTTGAGGGATTCGTCCAACATATGCATGCCTCGCTCTCGTAGTGTGGGTTCTGAGTGCATTAATCTTTTGTTCTATTTCTTCTACATCTATATGGCACAAAGTTATTCCCAAGTACGTACGAACAAAAGCAATCCAAAATGGGCGGGTATACAGTCCCCGACGAGCTCTACTCCTCCAAAATATGTCGAATGGTATAATATTCAACCAATAAATATGTGGTAATGCCAAAAGTAAAAAGGTGTGATGTTGCAATTGCAAAGTGAGAAATGAGGACAGGCCGAACGCGATCGATAGCAAGAAGCACTGAGGGGGTGTACAGGAAGAGGCGGAGGAAGACGAGCGGCGGTCCAGTAATGGGAGTTCCAAATGACCATGGATACGGCTTCGTGCTTGATGAGATGGACAGTGTAAGATCACATTTTCGTACGTGCATCTCGCCATCAGCCTTGGCTGAGGGTATGCACGCGTCGGTCGTCAAATATGCACAGGGGCTCTCGTACAGACCTGCACCGAGAGACCCAGGAGAGAGGTGGCGTGAGGACATTAATGAGCGTAATGCGGCATTAGTGTAATAAATAGTGCACGTCGACAGTCGCGGTCCAGGGTTGTAGATGTATACCGGTGGCGGATGCTGGAAGAGAAGCTTGGCGGCGCAATGTGTGCGCGTTCAACCACCACGTCGGAGAAAGGGCGGCGGACCCGCCCAGGTATCCGTCTGAGCGCAAGGCGGTATGCCCGCCCGCCTGCGAGGACAAAACTCATGCCCAGCCTTCTTGATCTTCTCTCGCCCTCTTCTCATCCACGAGAATGGTCAATTCCTTCATCATCTGTTTCCTTTGGCCTTCCGGGCTTCGGCTGCGAAGCCGCGCCCTCCACTCTTTCACCCATGCCCACCGACGGCCTCGCTCAGTCATGGCGTCTTCCGACGGGGTGATCATGGCCTTGAGCTTCTCCTTCCCGAGCACCGGCGCACCGGCAAGGACAGTCAAGAAAACGAGCCGGGCAATCATTTCCGGGCGAGCCAGCATCTCGCCAACGCCAACGCCGACGTTGTCACCTACTGCCATGGACTGCAGAATATCGCCCAATTGACACGTTACCGCCGTCCAAGGGAGACCTCCGATGAACGAGCCGAGTAAACATTGCAGCAAAGGCACGCCAGCCAAACCGCACGCGATATTAATGCCGGACCAGGGAATGATGCCTACAAGACGCATGATGGACAGCCGAACCCAAGCAGAAGATGAGGCGTTCGAGGGGGAGGACGAGGATGAGCCCTCCAATACCGAACGAGTGAGGTCAAGCGCCCGCGGGAAAATCCGCGTTAGGATCGGTGCTAAAGGCATGGACAGGAGGGACGCCGCAATGGAACCCAGGGTTGTAAGACTCGTCAAGAGCAGGGTTGCAAAGACAGGCGAAAACAGTGCTCCCGCAAGAACATTCTAAGCGCCATTCATTATCGTCAGCAAAAGACATCACCTGGATTACGGAGAATAGCCTCACCCACAGAACACTGCCTGGTATGCTCCAAGCATGATTCCAGACGGCGGTGATGCTAAGAACGCCGATGACATGCGCCATTGGCCCAGACCCGCTTTGCGAGTATTCGTGCAGCTCTCTACCCATCTGAGTGAGGTCGGCTAACGTACGCGGCCACGAGCCGGAGACAGGGAGGGTCCAGAAGCAGTACAGTACCAAAGCAGTCGACAGGGGAAAGAGGGTAATGACGAGCAAGAGCGGGGCGTGTACCTGGAGGGCCGTCAGAGCCATAAGTGGTGGTCGTGTGCAGTTGTGACATAATTACGTACTGAAGAGACACCCGACCACCATGGTCGCGACAATCCGTCTCTGAGCGGGCTGCCTTGCTCGTTGAATACATCACCAAATGAAGCACGCGAGGGCGACGAGGAGAGGGGAAGAATGGGATCGTCTGCGCTCGAGCCGGGTGACGGGGGTTCGACCTCGAGCATAGGGTGATGCGAGTGCTTGTAATAGTGCGGTACGAGCTGAAGCAGCTTGGACGCGAGCACTGCCAGAAGGGAAGGCGATGCGTCCGCAGACGGCAGCGGGTTGAGGGGGTCAGCGTTTGGCTCGGACGGAGGGGTCGGCTCGGGCGGGGGCATTGCGAGCATGGACGAGGACCGCCGTCGGGGACCGAGGGTGTGTATGGTGAGGGCGGGGCGGACGTTGGTGGAGGACGCGCGGTGGCGGGATGGGGGCGGGACGGGTGGCGGGGCGAGCGAGTCGACGGAGGGCATGGGTGGTGGGATCATCATGGGTGGATGCGGCTGGCTGCCTTCAGTTTTTAGACTTTGCCGGTTCGATGGCCCCGTCACGTAAGCCGCCTTAGCGCACCCGTCCCGATCCATCTCGCGCCTCAGCCTTTCCCTCCATCGCCACCGCGCGCCTCGTTATTTCGCTCGCTCTCCATCCACCCGTCAGGCTGCCCCACCTCGCCGTCGTCGTACTCGACGTCGACCGCTGCTTTCCAACGATCCTCGACGCTCACTCCGACCTACGGAACGCGTGGCGGCCGTCGGCTGTTGCCCGACTCTTCTTGCGATCCGAAACACGACAGACATGCCCGGCCGGCGCGCACGCGTACTCACCGTCACGCTCCCTCGGCTTGTGTGGCTTTTCTGCAAACCTCCTGTGTATGCGCTGACTCGATCGCCACTATCCGATCTTACGGGAGGGGGTTTACCAACAATCCCATCTTTGAGTACCGTTAGATTTCTAAGCACCGAGTCATATGTACTTTCGCAGAGCAATCCTTACTCGTCCACTGGCAACAATACTCCCTGCAGGCGCGTGATATTTCGCGGAGACTGTCAGACAGACCCAACGGAACATCTGGGTCTGCCTCGTCTCGCTCCAGTTCGCATGAAGCGGAGCTTGTGCTGCTATCTCCAACTCTCCAAGGGCGAGACGCAAGCATCATGCCGGCTTTCCGCAAGGGCTGAGAGATGACAACTAATACGTACCTCTCCAATGGCTCCTGAAGTGAGTATCCCATCGGGCCCAAACAACGTCACCGCGGCCAACGTACCCAGCTAACAATAACCAGAGCAATTTTGAGCCGTGGTCATGAACACGATGTCTTCCTGGCAATATCTGATAAATGCCAGATGTCCCATAGAGCCAAAGATAGTCCATCTTCTCTGTGCAGCGGCCCAATCGCAGCTATTCCAGGAGCTCGCCCATTTGGTCGGCGAGGGAGTTGACGAACGCAACGCGAGAGCATAGGGCAATACCATTGCATAAACATAGCGATACACTGCGCATCTTCGCATGAGATGGGTGCCTTCTCCCTCTCGCCCCCGCGAAAGTGGAAGACAAAACATAACCACGACTCGAGCACAAAAGACCTCCCGACCCGGCAGACACATGCGAGCGGTACGGATTGGTTTAGTGGCCGGCTCTTCTGCTCTCGGCAATGATGGTGGAGAGCTCCTCGAGCTTTCGCTTCGAGCGGAGGAGCGTGCCCAACTGAGCCAAGATGGTCAGATTAAGGACGCAGTGTACAGATATTGCACGGGACGTACCCGCTTCTTCGTCAGCTTCCTGGCCTTCTTGTCCTATCAGCCACGAAACACACGTTAGCGTCCATGCTCATTGACAAGATCTGGCGCGGGATACGGAAAGAAACTGGTTGCGGAATGCCAAGAATCGTGCAGACGCATCCTCCCGTAGTCTCCCAAGCTTCAAATGCTGCATGCCTCCATTATCGCGCAAACATTTCCTTGTCTCTCAACCAGAGATCACACATTCCCGCATGCTCGCTCGTCCCCCACAACACCGGAACACGAAAACTCACCTTAGAGTTCCTCAACAACTCCATAACTCTCCGCTCATACGGGGAGAACCCAGCAACCTCCCTGATCACGCTCCGCACGAACGACGTCTTTTTGCTCTGCACGCCCTTCCTGTGACTCGGCTTGACCTTCTTTTCGATGGGCGTCGTGGGGTGGCCGTGGTTCGAGCCGTAGGCGATGTCTGGGAGGACGAGCGGCACGCTGATCAGCAAAAGCAACTTACGAACGAAACGGTAGTATCACGCACTAGTGCGGGCCATTTTGCTTCAAGTCTTGAGGAGGGTCTGTCGGACTCGGACCCCTCGCAGCGATACTGTCTCAATACGGGGGATGTCACAGCTGTGACGAGTTCCCGGTGGCTTGCACCTGTACAGTTGATCTACTTTTGGCAGTCACATTTCGCGCGGGACTCCGTAGCGCCTGTGAAGTCCTCAGATGAGTTTACAAGTGATGGCCAAGCTCTCGCGTCGACGAGGGAGATGCGGTGCAGATTCGATCCGCGACGTGTGCAGGTATCGAAACAACAGACAACGGTTGTAAGTATGTATTTAACTCAAGGTGTATTATTACAAAAGTCTACCAGAGCATCCCGTGCTCACCTACGGCGCGTTGCCTCACCACCCGCACCTTACCGCCTCCCATCCCTGCCACATTACCAACCTTCCCATTAATCCTAAGTGGCATCACAGTGGAGACCGGCAGAGGCAGCGGCTCAGGAGTTCGCGGAGGCGCGCTCGACGCGGGGGATGCGGGGAACCCGATATTCGCGTTGGCACGCGGGTGATCGCGCTCCCACTCGTCCGGATGCTCTGCGCTGTTTGGTAGCTCGATATCGCAGTCGAGCGCTCCGAGGGAGGAGGCGGCGGGGGCACTATGATCGTTCCGCCGTCGTCCTCTGTTGGCTCCGGTGTCGGCCTGGGCGGGAGGGGGGAGTCGGGAGCGGTGATCTTGATCTTCCTCCTCCTCTTCCTCCTCTTCATCATCGTCGTTATCACCTCCTCCTTCCTATGACATAGCACATAAGAGGCATAGACAGAGAGGATTACTGGTCAGACTTAAGACCGACGCTCCGGAGAGGGTTACTTGAGTCCTGTACGTACCGGATCGAAGTCTTCCATGGGTCTGTCTCCGCCTTCACCGTCCTCCTCGAATTCCGAACCTCCCTCCTCATCCAACCACCGACCTCGCCAATCCACCATGTCCAACTCCTCCGGACTTTCTGGCCGCATGCGCAACCACATCATCCGCGGCCCACTCTTTGCCCGCTCACTCACGCGGAAGCCATATATGCGGGGTACGTACACTTTCCCAGCGGCTCGTTTCTGCCCGCCGTACGGATTGGGATTTACAAACGTCTCTTCTTCAGACTGGTCGGACGAGGCATTGCGGGGTGAACGGGCTGGGGTTAGGGATGACGAGGCTGCGGATGGCGGCTTATAGAAAGGAGCAGGTGCGAGTTCGCGGTAGCTCTGGAAGAAGAGGTGGGCGAATGTGGTGCCGAAGAATGCGCCTGGATAATGTTAGGTATGGTGAGCATCATGGGAGAACATCCGTCGTGCTCGACGCACCATCTACTCCCTGAAAGCGGCTGCTTGGTGGAACGTAGATGTCATGGCAATTTGGGCAATACAGCTTGACGGTGTCAAGACCGGGGACATCCGATCGTCCGCAGGGTACTACGTAGCAGTTCTGACAATAAACGCGGGGACATGAGCCGAACGTAGCATTTTCATATTTATCTGCCTGAGAAAGGTGTCAGGACATGCAAGCGACGCCGTGAAGTGAGCCGCTCACCATAGCCTGTAGCCCTTGCCGAGTTATGATGTAGCGTTGGTGAACAAGGCCATACAGCAGTTCTGCAGAGGCTTCGACTATTGAGACATCTGGCACCCGCGCCGAATCCTCATCTGATAATCGGCCCCGTTAGAGATGATGGGATGGTCCAAGCCTGAGGATGCTGTCGGGCGTACCTGGTTCGACGTCCAGCACCATCTCCATTGCCTCTTTCCAGAATGGCACCATAGCATTCAGCCCCGTCAAATTGAAATCATCTTCGATAAAGTCTTCCGATACTTCGCAGAAGTATTCGTGGCCGGGTAAGGAGCAGAACCAACTGATCCATGTTAACGTCGACGTAGGCGTGGACGATGCTACACATAACAGGAGAGATTAGGCATATGCATTAAAGTGTCACGCTATCTGCGAAGCGGAAAATGCGCGAAGACGGGAGGGGGGGGATGTACGAGGAAACTTAAGTAAGAAAGAGCACGCACTATATCCCTCGCCGTCCTCCGCTTCGCCCATCACCTCGTCTCCCTCCCCGCTCACGGCCTCCTCCTCTTCCATTTCTTCTTGGCTGGGGTCGACCGAGGAGGACTGCTGGTGACGCGACATAGTAGGGTCCACAAGCCAAAGTGGAAGTCTCGGTAGCCCTGAACGCGACAATTGCAACACGTTGTGGATGCAAGCCCCAATTTCGAAGTCCGCTACGAGGGCTGCCGGGGTTAGGGTCAGCTCCCTACTGCACGAATCGCCTAAGTCTAAATTGGCCGGTCGGGATTCATATCGGAGGCTAGGGTACAATGGAAAATGGTGCGAAGAACAATTAATATATTTGCTTTTCCAGAGTAATCGAAGATTCATGAGTCTGTGGTGGTGTTCATGCGAATCTACAAGTCAATTGCTCACTAACATGACCAGCCCAGTACGAAGACCCCATTATCAATAACAATAAAATCTGACCTGTGCCCCAACTAAGCGCAGCGTACAACCACGCTTTCCACTCCACTAGAGCATCGACCTCCGTGGCAAACGTGCTCACAGTAGTGAGACACCCACAGTATCCGTCCCCGAGCCCTTGAACCAGGGCGCACGCATTGGGAGACGCTGCCGGTGACATGCCTTGTATGACATGGAGTGCGCCGAGGACTGCTGTTCCGAAGGAATTCGCTACATATGTGCCCAGAGGGAACAGATCAAGTCGGGGATTGAGGAATATGGAAAGTAAGTATCGTGTGAGCGTGCCGGGGTACGAGAATAGGAGAGCGGCAGTAGCTTGATGCCGGTAATCGGCAGGGAGACGGAAATAGGCCGGGAATGTTGCTGCGTAAATACAGACAGACAAGGCTGTCACGGCATATCGGAGAGCACGGGTTGGTGGTCGTAGGACTGGAAGGAATGGTTGGAGCATAGAAGCCAAGTGTGTGCCGAACCAAACAGATGTAAGAGATATGATAAAAGTGTACAGCGTGGTGGTGATTCCGTCCATGACCTGCGAGCTTAGTTAGAAGGATTCTCGCGAAGTCAGATTGATGCTCACATCTCCACGCCAGTCTCTGTGAGCTTGGGTTGAGTTAACCCAGGAGGTAAAGACGTCCACTTGCCATCCGGAGAAGGTTGTGAGAGACCCACAGAATCCTGTCCATGACATAAGCTTACGACCACCCGGACGACAGGGGGAGTCTAACCAGTGGTGATGGCTGTATACAGCGGCCCATAACTAGTGCCGAACAGGTGGGATTATCAGACGAGCGACGGGTGGAAGAGACTCACAATCGTCCCAGAGGCTCCTTGCATTCAAGCCCGAATCCCATGATAAAACACCCCACTGCTTGAACATACGCCAACGAGAATATCTTTTGACCGTTATACGTGGCCAGAGCATTTAGACCGAGTCTGGCTAATACACCAAATACAGATGCCGGCATGAGAAGTGCGAGGACATGGGGTGACAAGGGGTGATAGACCTTGGACGGCGGCAAGGCCCCTTCCTCTGCCGGGGGCCTATCTACTTGGGCCAAGGATTCTGCAGACTCAATAGAGTCATGGCGCGCAATCGCTGAGCCTACATCGCTGCCAACAGGATGCAGCGGTGGTCGTTGGTCCTCCGCGGACGTCTTTTGCGTAGACGAGAGCGACAAGTTATTCGCGCCATTTGCATCGTTTGGCGCGCCGTGAAGGGGGAGCAGTGTCGATGCTTGTTTCTCGTCAGACATCGTCGAGCACGGCGAGTATCTAAGCTGGCAAGTCACAGATGATCCTTGTGGATCGCTCGACAAAGTGTACAGCCGCAGATTCCCCGCACAACCTTCCCAATCATAGCGCGAGCTAAATTTAGCCTAGCATGGACCTCTCCAATGGCATTCGAGTGCTGCAAGCCTGCAACAAGTATCGCTGTTCCACACAAAGGTTATCCCAGTGCCCTCGGGTTGTCTCGGACTCTTAAAGCGACAGCTGGACGCATAGGAAGGTTCGTGGCTGTACTTGGTCTGCATGCGACGTTCGTTGGCAAACTCATAGCGGGCAGTCGGCGGACTCTGCGTTCTAGACGAGCGGAAAACATACTAGATGTTCGCATGGGGCCAAACATTTGTCGCACTGGTTCTCGTCGCCGCCACGTCCCTAGTCGTGATCCTGCAATCCTCCATGCTCACGAGTAAAAAGTGGGATCCGCGAGGCAAGGTGAGACTATTAATTTGATCCGTAAACACCTCGGATCTGACTTCGGGGAAGCACTGCTACGTGACTGGCGGGTCAGCGGGACTTGGGCTTGCCCTCGCCATTCTCCTTACTCGCAAGGGCGCAGATGTCTCGATTGTTGCTCGCCATAAGGGGCGGCTAGGAAAAGCGCTGGAACTGATGGAGGTGAGCAACTTTGCCCATGCCGTCTATCAATCCCGGTATTCTTAAGTATCTGGATTGGAATCTGTGCAGGCCGAACGTCAGACGCCTAACCAAGTCTTGCGGTCCTTCTCATGCTCTTTAAACGATGCAACTGAGGCCTGGGATGCACTTGAAGCGGCTTGCAAAGCACACGGAGGCAGATGCCCAGACGCCATATTCTTATGTGCCGGGACCTCTACACCTGGATTCTTTGTCGAAGAAAGCGAAGAATCACTTCGCCGGGGCATGGACAACACGTATTGGGCGGGAGCGTGGACCGCTCTGGTGCGTTACGTCCAATGTTACACGTATTCGTATTTCGCTCATATTTCCCCTAGGCCGCTGCGAAGCGGATGGTGCGACATAAAGCCAAGGGAAAGATTGTATTTGTGTCTTCTGTCCTTGCCTATATGTCAATAATAGGGTACGCTTCCTACAGTCCGGGCAAGTTTGCACTGCGAGGTTAGCCAGTCTTCTATATCTCTCGTCTTCACCAACTCTCTTTACATTTAGGTCTCGCGGAAACACTCAGATCGGAACTCCTACTATACCCTATTGATGTCCATATATTCTTCCCGGGAACGATTTACAGTCCCGGCTATGAGAATGAGAATAAGACGAAGCCCAAAGTCACCCTAAAGATAGAAGAGACTGATGACGGACTGCATCCAGAGCAGGCGGCCGCTGTTCTTTTGAAAGGTGCTTTGATGAGCTATTCTCCACGGGGGACAGATGCTCACGTCCATGATAGGGGTACAGAAAGATTACTTCCATATCAGCCCTGACTTCATCGGGAATGTATTCCGGACTACAACCAAGGGGGCAACTCCCCTTAATAACGTCTTAATAGATTGGGTCTACGCCCTTATTGGCTGGGTAGGTTGTTTCGACCTCATATTCTTCCCTGTGCTAACCTTCTGCCAGATCGCTCTCCCCGTGTGGCGTTGGACTGTTGATAAGGCTGTGAAGGAGCATCGTAAAGAACACGCTGCGTACCTTGAGGAGAGGGGATTCTTCCAGGAAGACGTCGTAGGCACCAATGGGCATGTCGAAGCATCCCCAGGTGCATGATACTGCATCATACCGTCATCGGTCTTCGTAGATTATCCCACCAGATATTACAGTAATGGAATACAACAAGTTCCGCTGCAGTGATATCATCACCGTGTATAAATGTCCCTTATGGGCCGGGATAGAACTATCAGGGCCAGGATCACGGCGTATGACATGGGAAGGAAACCAGACGGTATGTCAGGAAGGAGCGAAGCTCGCCATGCGCAGGGGACTTTGTCCAAGCAAAAGCAAGCATTATACCCTCCATCTTCGCAGGGAAGAGCATTCTCGGTCATCTGCCATAGCAGCTGGAGGTCGCAAGTCCCGTCCCAGCAGCCTTGGTCCAAACCTTGGTGTAAGATGAAAAGCCAGAAACTTCATTTCCCGCCGATGTGAACATGCTGAGTTTAGGGCCGGCCGGCCGCGGACGCTGACGGCGTCCCATCGTCGTGCACGACCACATTTCCGCGCGCTGATGGTTTCAGCCTCCAAAGTTCTTGGACAGATCTGCGTTGCCCGCAGCCACTGCCTGCTGCAGGATGTGCTGGATGGATTGCTGTTTATACCTGCAGGGCGTCAGCCTGAGTCACTCGAAAGCCGATCAAGGCTTTTCCGATGGTGCCTTATGTCTGGGTATGACGGATTCCTGTTCGAGCTTAGCCAATCGGCCTCTGTAATGTTTGCTTGACGTTAATGCCACGGAAAGTTTCCGTTCACAAACACTCCGCCTTATTATACACTCCCTGCAGGCCCGAGAGCCTCAATCGTCACGCCATGTCCCCTCCCCAGTCTGCCATCCCAGGGTTCTACTACGCAGTTTTTGGCTTCTACGAGCCGTTCCTGACGCTGCTGGGCCTCATGGGTACTATCGTCGATCCGAAAAGGGTGAGTCTGCGCAAGTGCCGGGATATGCGTCCCCGCTCAGACGTCCGTGGCTCGAGAACAAGAATATTCACGCTTGGCTATTAGACGCACGACGCGCAGGCTCCATGGCCGAATGGGATGCCACCATCAAGTCCGCTCCCTCAAGCGACACTCGTCACTCTTTTCCAGCTTGCGCACGTATGCGCCCTTATCGGGCTCATAAACGTCTTCGTCCTTTCCGCTGCTCGCAAACACCTCTACTCTCAACCAGCGCTGCAGGAGAAGATCGTTGGCGCGCTACTCACCCCTTTACTATGTGGCGATGTGCTGCATCTATATGTGACGCTATGGGCTCTCGGTCCCGAGCGATGGAACGTACAGGAGTGGGGTGCTGTCCTGTGGTCGACGCTGTTAACAGGCCTGACGCTGATTGTACCGAGGATTGCGTGGCATCTGGGTATTGGGAGATACGTGGATAAGAGGGACGGGCATTTTAAGGGACATATTGAGAAGAGATTCTAGGCTGGGGCAGTGAGAGGCACGGACCACGGACGACGCTTAGATTAATCTACACGCTCCTTATATTCCCCTGTATCTGTAATCCGCTGCTAACATCCACTGATAGGCCAGTAGGTACTAACTGCCGGTAATGTGATCGCTGGATATCTCTCCACTGCACGATGGATATTAATATTGTCTGCACCCTGGTGCCTGAGGGTGAGGTGTGAGCTGCATGCAATATCGGCGATACGGCCGATTCAATTCATATGACGACTACAAGGCAAGAGATAGAGGAGTTTGGTGATAGTGGTAGACGAGCCAAGAGAAAACTCCGCGTACCGAGCGAGATAACGAGCTGAAACCAAGTTGTGCACCGGAAGATAACCTGGGGAATAGGAGGCAGGGTCAGCTGAAGTCGTACCGCGCAGCAATAAGTGAGTATCATATTAGATCAAGAAAAATCCATAGGGCTCCTCTGTCGACGTTTCGGAAGACGTGCGCGTACAGGGATCCCTCAGTCCACTTTTGCTAATCATGCAGAGCGACGACAGAACATTAGTACATACCTGTGGCTGTAGAGCGACGCTAATAAATACTTCCGTACGTGCTCCCGGATTCACTATGATTTCGTCCATGTGTACTGCCGGGTTCCAGATGGTGGAGAAGCGGGTGGGGGAGACTGTTGCTTTCTAATTTTGATTCTACGTGACTCCCACCAATCGAAGACCCATGTTTGTACGAGCCCAAACACGGCGGACGTGACCCAGTAAAGTACGACACCCTAGAAGCCGGTTGAGGTGTACTCCAAACGCTTGCTGGAATTGGACTCACTCCAGGAACGACTGCGCCTATCAGGATACGACCGACCGACAATGTCCGTAGAGCAGATTGCACAATCTTACTGGGCTCAATCACTACTTCTCCCTTTCCCCGCCTCTCGGCGTTCTTCTTTTCGATTTCGATCGCTGCAAGCCGCTTGTCCTCGGATATGAACCAACGCGACGTCTCAACATTAGCAAGAGTAATTAGGCCCAGTGCTATGGGTAGGGTGGCCGTTGGATCGGCATGCGAGAGTGATGTCAGGGTTAAGAAGGACTCGGAGTCGAAGGGCGTCGGTGGCTGTGAGAGGCGGCCGAGCATCAAAGAGAAGCCGACAAAGAGCGGGAGCTGGGAGACGGGAGGGATAATCATGGTCGATATTGGGGAGCACTTGTGCTCCGAGTAAAGCTCTTTTCGACGTTGCTTCATCTGTAGGGCTCGCACGACGTTAAGAGACTGCATCAGCATCGACTGGGGCGCACATACGAGCTCACTATAACGTTTCCGGTGGTACTCTGTGATCTCTTTCTCGGTCCCGCGTATTCGCAAGACTTTCATCTCTTTCAGGACAGCCTGCGATATTGTAGGTGCAATTTCACGGAGCTGAGGGAGAACCTGCTCCTCGGCAGTCCACTGACGCTTTTTGGCCTAGCATGTCCTTGGTCCATTCATGACTGAGTCACATAGGTTGACCACAGGATCACGCACCCATATGGAGAACGGAACAGTGAATAGAAGTCTAGTGGTTATGGTCGTGACAATGATTGTCGTAGAGTACGCCGGCCATGAAGCAGGGTAGGGGAGTGCGAGAGCCAAGTCAAGGAAGCCGTCCGACAAGCCCTGAATAGCCGAGGTTATAAGGGTGCGCCGTGCTGCGCATGGAAGATGTCCGATACTGTTATTCGGCCTCGTCAGCGAGCGCGGCGTGCGGCGACGACATGCTGAAGCCAGCATCCTCGAACTCGAGTCCAGCAAGTCCAAGTCCGAGTCCGCCACTTTCCAGAGGCTCCTTCCTAATCCAGCGCGCGTACGAGATCCATTCCCACGGATGCTTTCCTCGAAGTCCAAGGTTGGTCATAACTAGCATATCTAGAAAAGACTATCTTTGGGCTGGAGATGACTCTTATCGCCTGAGCTCAGCTATGGCGCACTATCTATCTGGGAATTTCACTTCTCGCTGCGTCTCGTGCCTGCGGCAATATTGGATGAGCTGAGGATGCCTCAAGTTATAAGAGTCTGAATCGATTTACCCCCCGTGCGACCAGCCTTGCTTCCTGCAGACATGGCAAGTCTCGGGGCGTACGAACCACTTAAGGAGGCGGACCCCTACTATGACACCCGCACCGCACCCAAGCGCAAAGGGGGCGTTTCTCGTCGCGTAGGATATACTCTGCTTGCAGTCCTCGGGGCGATCGCGCTTTCCGTCTTCTACATCTCACCTGCGCACTCAGACAGATCTACGGTACAGTCAGGGGAGTCTTTGACCGGTCTGCTAGGTACGAGGCCGCTCGAACAGTGCGCCTCCAGCCTCCCCCTTGCCGCTAGTCCTCCGGCTCCGGTCAATATCTGGGCACCTCTGACAGTCGACGAAATCGCATCGGTTCAGAAATGGCTGGAGGCTCCCAGTCGAGGTCTCAACTTGACTAGCGGCGGCCAAGCTGGCCTGTCAGATAATGCTGTCTTCCTGATCGAAGTGTACCAGCCTCCGAAAGCTGAGGCCCTGGCCTACCTCGAAAACCCCTCCGCAACGAACCTACCCGCGAAGTACGCCAGGGTCACCATTCACCATGGCTCAGTGCCCGAGATCAAAGACTACTTGGTCGGCCCCTTGCCGATCACTCAGCAGTCGGAAATGAAGGAGCTGAAGGGTGTCTATCACCGCGATGACATACCTTACCATGCTCGGGGCTTCATTTCGGGCAATGAATTCGCGACACTCGGGAAAAGAATTATGGCGCCGCTAGCTGAGGCAACTCAGGTATGTGGTGTACAATATCACCCGATCCAACCGCTTAACGACCGGCGAAGGAATTATTTGGCGCCTCGGCTTTAGGCTTGGCCAATGACACATTACTCGCGGGTATGAGCGGTCCTTGGAGCTTTGACGGGAGCTTTCGACGGGCGTGGGTGTCCTGGAGACGCAACGTCGCAGGACCTTGGTTGCACCCAGTCAACTTCTTCCAATACGTCGATCTCAGCGGTACGGACCCTGAGCAATGGAAGTTAATCAAGGCAAGTCTAGAATATGAAACGGCGACGAGCGATATTGACACATCGCTAGATCGTCTATAACCACCAAGTCTTTGAGAGCGTCGAGTCGTTCCTCGACGCCTTCCACAACGGGACGCTCAAGAAGCTCCCTGAGAGACCTGACCAGGATCAAGACCCCTCCTGGAGTACCAGGAAGCGCCCTAACCCCGATTACAAGCGCGATCTCGACCACCTTCCTGGCCCTCGCTCTGTCTCCTTTGCCGGCCTCAGATTCAAAGTCGATAAGGCCACCCAATACGTCAGCTGGTTGGGCTGGGGCCTGTACCTTGGCTTCAACCGCGATATGGGGCTCAGTCTGTGGGACATTCGCTTTAGGGGTGAACGTCTGATCTATGAGGTTGGTCATACATGATCTACCAATTGCCCCATCCGCTGATTCGCGATGTATAGCTCGCTCCTCAGGAGGCGATCGCTCAGTACGGTGAGTACCACCATAAATTCGGGCCACGCTTTGCAGCTGAGCTCCCGACTCTGCAGCCGGCAACGATCCCATGCAAGCTACCACCGCCTGGCTCGACCGTTTCTTCGGTATGGGGTTGTCCGTCCGCGACCTTATGCCCGGCTATGACTGCCCTCACGAATCGGTATACCTGCCCGCTACTACCCACTCCAACATGGGGATCATTACCCGCGATCGTGCAATCTGCATTTTTGAGCAAGATTCCGGCCGGCCCATCACCAGGCACACTGGTTATATGAAAGGTGAGATGGGCGCTGTAAAAGGGTACATCCTTACCATCAGGACCATCAGTACTGTCGGAAAGTGAGTTTGAATTGGTGGATAGCTGCATAGATAGAAGGGAGCTGATACCACTTTTCTACAGCTATGACTATCGTACGTATTGCTGTCCTTAGCCCGTCGTGAGCCGTGAGTGACGTCGACCTTCCAAATTCCTCGCCGCCAATGCCACAGTGGTGAGTATGGTATTCCCATACTTAAGCTCACGTCTCATAAAATCACAATACACAGTTTGACTATATGTTCCATGTCGACGGCACAATAGAGGTTCGTCTCTCAGCTTCGGGATATTTGCAGGGCGGGTACTGGGAACCGAAGCAAGAAGGCTATGGCGCCCAGATCCGCGACACATCCAGTCGGTATAGGCGTTAGCTGCCCTTTATGATGACTAACAATCTACTTAGTGGGAAGTCTGCATGACCATGTCATCAACTATAAGGTCGATCTTGACATGGTCGGCATGAAAAATTCCCTTCTCGCTACCACCACGGCGCAGGAGGAGGTCGTACACCCGTGGATCGAAGAAGACTGGGGTAGCAGGGTCATCCAGCAGAAGATCACCCGTCGCTACATCGAGAACGAAGACGATGCTCTCCTCAAGTACCCCCACAACTTCCAGGGTTCTTACGCCATCGTCAATAAGGACGAGACGAACGCCTGGGGCAGTCCGAGGGGTTATGCTATTCATCCGGGCAACTCTCCAGTTTACAACGTGCGCGCACTACCTGCTTCTCATATTTTGCGAAGCTAATGCCAGTACTTCAGACTGTGGTCGGCTCTAAACGTCTGTTGAATAATGCTAACTGGGCTCGGTACAACCTGGCCGTGTCGCGTCGCAAGGACACTGAACCCACGTCCAGTAGCATGTGGAATCAGCACCTGCCTGGCGCTCCGATGATCGACTTCCACAAGTTCTTTGACGGAGAGAATATTACCCAGGAGGACCTTGTCGCTTGGATTAACGTAGGGATGCATCATCTGGTGCGTACCAGTCTGCTGAGCAGACCCTTCGCTGGCTGAGCAGCTGTCATCAGCCTCAAGCCGAAGATGTTCCCAACACTCGCACCAATCTCGCCGCGTCTAGGTACGAGCTCTTGCCACTTAGTCTTTAATGACCAGGGTAACTAATGTGGTGCTGCTGATAGTTTCTTCCTCACCCCGCTGAACTACTTCGATACGGACGTCTCCATCGAATCCATCAATGCTATCGTGCTAACGTCGCCCGAGAAGAGCGGAGAACCCTTCACCTTCGACGACTATGGCGTCAAGCCGGCCAACTGCATCCCCGAAGCTGTACCAGAGTTTGAGTACGCCGGATTGAAGGCCTACACCGTCGATGGTAAGCCAGCTCCGCAGACGACCGTAGAGGAGCTGAGGAAGCAGGCCGAGCTGTTCCATCGAATCAAAGTCGAGATGTAGACATGTCCTTGAAGACTGTGTGACAGTGCCCACTGTACATAGAATATAAGCTCTTTCCATCCATGCTGACATTGAGAAAGCGAGTTCTCTCAAGAACGTGAACTATGTTGGAAACGAAACGTATGAAATCCCATACTGATGCCGTCTCGGCCGAAGCCAATTGAATTCTCGCATACTTGCGACGAGCGAGAACCCTCTTGCTTGACAGATCAATACAACTCGAAAGCGAGTTCATAGGTTATTTTGCCGCCATGTCATAGATGCACAAACACATGTGCCCAGGTGAAGGGTCACAAAGCATAACATAGACTGCCAGGCTCCCAACCCAGCGCCGATCTCCCCCAACACAGACCTCGCCGCTGCTCATGTCTAAGGGCGATACGCCCCAACTAGAACACCATAGCGTGAGGGAACTGACCCTTCGACAATCCCCACGAAGCCTTCAGGTACTTGGAGAGGTTCTCTACCTTCTTGACACCCTCGAGAACGGCCTTGTCCACCGCCTTCTGGTCAGCAGCCTTTGACTCTGGGAAAGGCTCCTTGGCTTTGGGCTTCCCATCCTCGAAGAACTCCTCCTCCGCTGACTTGGCGCCCTTGACCTTCGACTTGGCAAAGTAAGCGTCGTTGATCTTCTCGTCAACCTACATAAAAGTGCGCAAACGTTATAAGATTTTGCGCTTCCCAGTTTGCAAGTGGAGACATACCGAGAAGTCGCCAAGGTCCACCTTCGATGATGTGGCGATAACATAGGCCTGGTTCACCCGGCGAAGGGGAACACCATTAATCTTGAAAGGTCCCGTCACCAACAATAACCCACTCTCTAACTGCTTCAAGAAGACCACCCGCTTGCCACGGAAGCGACCCGCCAGCAGGATTAAGACAGTGCCAGGGGTGATAGACTGGCGTAATTTCGTAGGTTTTGGTGATTTACGAGACTTCTTGGGTTGCCGGACATCTTCGGCGGGGTAGAATCGGGGGGCCTTGGAGGTGGGGACGAGACGGGTGCCGCCGTTCTTCTCGCCTTTGACTTGAACCTCCTTGGTGGCCATCTAGCAGCAGCACAAACGCGTGTAAGCATACCGTCGTAAGTTCATTGCCCAGCCATGCATCCAAGCGACCCGAGGTCAATCCATCTTATTCCACTGCAATCCACATCTTTCACCTCCACAGGATGGTTGCATCGCAACGAGACGGCATGCAGGACGAGACAGAGAGCAATAACGACACTCACGGCTAGTGATCTTGGTGTTGGTGCTGAGGGCCTTGTCTGCTGGGTTCGTTTGGCGATGCCAATATGGCGGGACCCCGCACGTACTTTGCGCCACCTTGGACCAAATCGGGCATTACGCACGTGGCATAAAGATAACGACGGAATGTGGCGGACCGTTTGCCACTGCAGCATTCTTTTGTGGACGGGAAATACTGTCAAAATGGGAGACAATAAAGGTGCGGTCCAATGTGCGATGTCGGGCATATTTCTGAGTGCTCCTGGATAGATGATCGTCTCATCGTATGGTTCGATATCGACAATACATTGTATTCCGCGAGTTCCAAGATCTCCCAAGCTATGGGCGAGCGCATACACGGTGAGCTCCGCTCAGGCATACGTCGAAGATCCGCTACAGATGCATTGCATTTCAGCATACTTCGTATCTCTCGGTTTCTCGCATGAAGAAGCATCAGAGTTACATCTGAGGTATTATACGCAGTACGGCCTGGCTCTCCGCGGATTGACTCGGCATCACGACGTCGGTGAAGTAATCTTATCCCGTTACCTTCTGAAGCTGACGTCTAACTCGTTCGTTATCAATCCTTGCGCGTAGACCCCCTAGACTTCGACCGTAAATGCGATGGGGCCCTTCCGCTTGAGGAGATGATTAAACCAAACCCGCGCCTAAGGAAGCTTTTCCAAGACATCGACCGAACGAAGGTTAGAGTGTGGGCGCTCACTAATGCATACAAGCTGGTAAGTATTGTCACCCGTGTCTCAGTCTTCTTTCTAGTGACAGTACTCCGCAGCACGCCGAACGAGTGCTCCGGATACTACAACTAGATGATCTTGTGGATGGACTTGTGTATTGTGACTATGCGGAACCTAATTTCTCTTGCAAACCTGAGCCAGAATACTACGTGAAGGTATGTGCCATGACGTTGCAGGAATCGTTAGTGATATCAAACACCCCTCTCCTAGGCATTGGAGAAGGCAGGGGTAACAGATCCCTCCAAGTGCTACTTTGTCGATGACAACAGAGGGAACGTTCAAGCCGCAATGCGCTTAGGCTGGGGCCACTGCGTCCACTTCAGTGAACACGGCCTTGAAATCGTAGAGGGTGGCAGGGTGAAGCAGATCGACAATGAGAACCTGGCGGGTCCAAAGGTGATTGGTGATGATAACGTGCAGGTCATAACAGACTTGGAACAGCTACGTCATGTCTGGCCAGAGATTTTCAAGAAAGAGATCTAGAGAGCAGACGATGAGCAGTAGACAATGCGGCATGTACAATAAACCTGGCAGCATCGGACATTCATACAGAGGAGTACCGCTTTCCTCTATTAATACAACATGTTATACAACATATAGGTTATAAAGCCGACAATGTCTCGGCAGCCAATGGTAAGTCCGACCGAAGGTACGTTTCTCAAAACAGATTGACAGTGACAACATGACCAGATTCGGTCACTTCGAGGACTATCCCATCGTATCCCATCAAACCTGGGGCGAGAAGTTTGTGTGAAGCCGGACTCAACAAAAGTAACGACTCACGAGTCGTAGGATTTGGTAGAGTCAGATCGTCGTCATCGTCTGTCCGGTCGAGAACCATCGAAGGGGGCGTCTCGCGAGGACTCAGAAAGTGGTTGATTGACTCGAACTAGAAGACCTCATACTTTAGCCTCGATAAATTAGGTAGTCGAGAGGACTCAGACTCACTCGGTCGTAGAACTTCATGCGCGGGGGGCTGTCTAAGAAAATATGGAGGCACAGACTTAGATAAAGCACCCAAGTAAAGACGAAAGCGTACCATCTTCGTCGTCCTCTGGTCGACCTTCTATTTCCCATAGGCACCGCTTGTAACGCTGAAACAACGGTGTCCCCGGCTGAGGTGAGGTGAACCAGGGCGTTATATTACGCAGCAGGCAGGGTTGCTCACTATGTTGGTATGAAGAATTATCTTCTTGCACGTATGTGTACTCCCGGAGATCAAAACATCGATCCCATGCTGGAAGTAATTGTAGAAATCTGCGAGACGCTCTTGAGAAATGAGTGGTGTGGAGGCTGTATGTCTCACAATCGCCGTCTTCTTCTTCTTCGTTGTCTTTGGTAGTAGAATGTATCGACATCCTATCATCTTCCTTGTAGTGTGTCCTTAGAGGTGGTCCGAGATCGCAGACTAGATCTTGCGCGGAAGTACTACCCAGTCTTATGTGTAAGGGCTCCGCGCGAGGTAGATGTTGATACAGTGTTACGCCTGTATGAACCTATCATTCAGTGAGATTCAATCCCTTTCAGTAGTTCGAGGGAGCGTCAATGACCTTGACAATTGCTCTAGCAATGTCATCATGCATAACCGGGCAATTCAGCACTTCATCCAGAGCATCCCTCTCTTCACCTTCAGGACCCTTCTGGGAAACTATCACTCGCTTGACCTCTTGCATCCTGTCCTCAGTGTGTCGTGGATTCGGAGCCTTGATACCCTCCCCTATCCGATCCTCGTCAAAAGAGAACCAAACTCCGGGATAACGTAGATCATCGCCGGGATACGTAGGGCCGAACGTGCGACTCACTCCTACCCGCCTAAGGACTTCCTCTGCGGAAGATAGGACAGTGTCTTTGTATCGCACAATAAGCGGAGGATGCGGATCTCGGAGCCGCCGCGCGCATATGGTATGAAGGCGCTGGTGGTGTCCAGAGAATAACAGATCGAGGTGCGGGCGGATGTGCAAGACCACGGGTGTTGTCACAGAAGAGTCTACGTCGTACTTGATGTCTACTTGAGGGAATACATGTGGCAGACTCCGGAGCAGGTCGAGCACGTTCCACAACGACGACCCTTGGGGCATTCCATGGTCAGGAAAGCGAGATCTAGCGATGACCAGGAGGCGTACCCAGTTCAAAGAATCCGAGACCCGACCCTGGCCTAATATCCACGTCCAGCGTACCTATCATGAAGGACAAACGATGATGAGCTTGAGTCAGGTTCTAAGTAGCACTGGCCCCAGGCCGCCACAAGCAGCCAGGGTGAACCGGCGGCCGTGCAGCCACCGACGCGACGTGCGACATTTCCGGAAGTCGCGTCCGTTCGCGTCTCATTCTGCTTGGACGCGTCGACCGTAGGATCGCTGCAGTTTCGACAAGACAATACTCGTACCTGCGGGTGTATATCTAGACAATTCAAGGATACAGTAGCACCTACGTGTCTTCGCTTCGAGGATGTCGGATTATCGTCAGAGAACCATAATTAAGGTATGTTCGACCGTGTATACCCTCTCGCATCGGCCAACGCCCGTTCAGGTCTTCCGAAAATACAGCCATGCTCTCGGACCAGAGGCACTCGAGTATTTGGAAGAGATTCTGGATGCACATGAGATTCCGGACGAACAGGTTGAAGAATCCGTTGACCTGATAGCCAAGGAATACAACAAGCAGGACGGTACGTACGTCAATACACACTGGCCTGATATTTACGCTTACGTTGCCAAAAAGATGCTGTGATGAAAGTCTCATTGAGCGTTCTAAAGCGTGTGTACGAGTTTCTGCAGGGTGGAACCAGTAGTGGCAGTCAGATTAAGGAGGATGTGCTCGACCCGGACGGACACCTCTGGTTCGTCAACGCGTTTGATATGCCACTGTGGCACTGGTCACCTGAACGAGGCACCTTCGAGAAGTTCGTCGCTTTTGCCAGCACGACTCCCTTCCGCTGACCCTCACTTAGATCGGCAGAATCATTAACTGTAGCCGGTACAGCCCATTCGAGGGTCATGGCCGTGCGTAACAGGATGAACATTATCAAGCAGACCGTGCTACGCAATGAACATTTCTCACCATCAACCTTACCCTCCAGAGACCGCGAACATCTGCTCACTGTACGAAGGCTCTGCTAGTTAATGGCGAATATTGGCGTACTAATTGGCTGCTTAGCTGAAATCCACCAAACACCTCCTCGGTCGAGCAGGTGGCCGATTTCTTCTCTTCGGGATGCTGACGCATTCGAAAGAGGGTAAACTATGTCTTGAAGATGAAGACGGCACTGTCGAGCTTGATTTCAACCCGTTAGTCAGTGCTGATGATGCCACGGCTGAACTCTACTGTTGACTCAAGTACACTCAGGATCAGCCGAGTGAAGGGCTGTTCACAGAAGGCGCATTCGCTCTCGTTGAAGGTGACTACACCGAAGACGGTAACTTCGAAGTGATCGCCATCGGCCATCCGCCGTGTGAGAATAGAGATACGGCCAGGTACGTCAAGAGCATGCCTATGTTCAGCCCTATCTTACGCAGTCCAGGTCAATATATGGACACATAGACTTTCTAGGCCAAGGAGCGACGACCTTAGTCGAAGATGTGAGTCGGACGTTCCTCGTTATTTCCCTCTCCGCGCGCCTCACGACACGCAGGCGCAATCAGCTTTGCGGATACAGGAGGAATTGTCGGACCTGAGCTTCTTCTTCCTCTCCGATGTCTGGCTAGACCATCCAGAAACACTGAATGGCTTGCGAAAGATGTTCGATAATTGCATCGAGAACAGCTTCATACCCAAAGTCATCGTGTTATGTGGAAATTTCACAAGCCACGGAATATCGAATGGGAATGGCAGAGATATTCAGAGATACCAGGGTAAGGACCGTCATTCATGCATCCATGAAATGCGGAGTCTGATACACCCTCTCAAGAGAATTTCGATGCTCTCGCCGACCTCATAGCCTCATACCCAGCTATAACGAAGGGGACACACTTCTTACTGGTGCCAGGTCCTCTGGACATGGCAGCTAACTCCATTCTACCTCGAAGACCACTGCTCTCATCGCTGGTGTCGCGGCTGAAATCCAAGGTACCCCGAATACACTTTGGGACAAACCCATGCAGGATCAAATTCTTTGGCCAGGAAATCGCCATCTTCAGGGAAGACATGATGGCAAGAATGCTTCGGAACCTGGTGGGCGTGAAGCCTGACGTCCGGAACGACGACCTAAAGAGATATGTGAGCAGACTGGTATTCTCTGAGACATACTATGCTGCTTACTGACCTGTTTCTAGCTTGTGCAAACTATGCTCGATCAGAGCCATCTATGTCCCCTCACGAATAATATACAACCGATATATCCTGACTACGACCATGCGCTTCGCCTTTATCCATTGCCTACAGCAGTAAGTGCACGACATGCAGGTTAAGGCCCGCAAACTAATGTGATATAGGTCGTGATGGCGGATAAGTATGAGAGTTACCAAATCACCTATGAAGGCTGCCATGTCTTCAATCCGGGGAGTTTCGTAGGAGGGACGTTCAAGTTCTCTATGTACACCCCAGCGACGAGGTTGTCGGAGGAATGGTGCGTTATTCGTCCTCTCGTTCGAACCATGATAATGACCATCTTGACATCAGCATTATCGAGTTTGATCAGGAGGACTCGTAATCGTCAAAGATGTAATACAATATCGCAGAACCATTCACTTCTGACCTCGACACCCTGTGAGTCCCCATGGGAATGCTGCGACCTTGCGGACTACGCCCGTGAATCGTCTGGGTATGGCAAAGATTATCATAGAACTTGTGACACGTCTTACCCACTTCTTGTCCAAGCCTGAGAGGGGAGCGTGACTGAACGTGGGTTCGGCGGCCCGTCATTCCAAGCGTGTGGCCTGGGCCAACTTTAGCAGGAGTCATGCACAAGTCGTTAAAGCCTTCGCGCCTCTGGATTGCACCCCTTCCTGAACCATCTACATCAGCCAGCGGAACTGAAGACACATGAGGGTCAATCGTCTCGCTATTGCAACCTGTTCGCTTGGTTTGCACCCATCACACACACTGCCATTGAAAATACAAAGTGCTGCCAGCGCGGGGTTCGCAGGTATAGAGCTCTTCTATTCAGATTTACAGCAATACGCCCAGGATAGTGCCAAGTCATTACTCGACGCCGCACTGCAAGTCAAAGAACTATGCAGCAAGGAGGGTATCACCATAGTCACCTTCGGTCCTATGACGAACTTCGAGGGCTGCCTCTCACCTTTATCAAGCCGCTTGAAGGTTGCAAGCGAGTGGATTGCTATTGCGAGGGTGTTGGAGACCACCGTCATTCGAATCCCGAGTGCCACAGACGAAAATGCCTCGGGGGACGAGGACCTGATCATCACCGAACTTCGCGCGCTGTGTGCACTTGGAGCGGAGGGCGGTAACCCGATATCCTTCGCGTATGAGTCATTGTCGTACGGCACCCATGCCGCCCTCTGGGAAGACTCGCTGCGCCTGGCCCAATTGGTCGATCGTCCCAATTTCGGGCTTTGCCTGGACACCTTCCATGTGTGCGCCAGGGTATGGGCCAACCCACAGACCTCATCAGGAAAAATCCCTGGAGGCACAGCCGCACTTGGGGCGAGTTTAAAGAGATTTGTGAAGGAATGTCCGATGGACAAGGTTTTCATAGTGCAGTTGAGTGACGCGGAGAGGATGGACCCGCCTATCCTGCCGGGACACGCAGCCTATGAAGAGGGTAAAGACGCGGTGGCGTGTTGGAGTGGATATGGACGGTTATTTCCCCTGGAGGAGGAGAAGGGCATTTACCTGCCAGTGGTCGATGTGGCCAAGACATGGCTGGTAGACAAGGCGTGGGGTGGATGGATAAGCTTAGAGGTCTTCCATCGAGAAATGAAGGAACAGTCTATGGGACCAGGGGTATTGGCAAGGCGAGGGATGCAGTCGTGGGAAAGACTGAGAAAGTCAATTGGGTTGGAGATGTAGTTTCAGATTGCAACCGTTAATTAGTGTATTGATTCGTGTATGGTATATGACAGCAGGAGGCACCCTACCTTCATCATGTACTTGCGTACATTGACAGTAAGTACTACAATCGCGGACAACCAAAGGCAACAATTTCGGTGACGGCATTTTCCCGGCACTGGCAACCGTCGGAGTTAAGATTTTACAGTGCTTTGCATAAAAGTCCGGAAACCGCGATTCGCGAAATGTTGTTTGTGCCAGCCAAACAAACCTATATGGGGTAGTCGATCACCGTAGCGCGGGCTGTTGACTGGTTGGCGGGACGCTTCGACATCCATGTATGAGGGTCGTTCTTGGGGGATTTTGACCTCTGCGTGCTCGATATCCTGAAGAGATACAGATCTGAACGTTATTCAGCTTTGAGACGGGCATTTGCGTCCCAGGAGTGATATAGGCTGACTCGAGGACCGTCGCGCCCTCGGTCAGGTGTTACCCTATAAGGTATTGTTTGGCTGGGACAAACAGAAACGCGCGAAACACAGTTTCCGGACTTTTATGCAAAGCACTGTAATGCGGGAAGAGAAGATTGGCACGAGCAAAATTCCCAAAAACCCCCCATTTCGCCGAAAAGAGAAATTCGGAGGTCTGAAACCGTCTTTGCTATTGCGCCCCCGTGCAAACATGACCAAATATTACCTTTTCGAGAATTTTATCATGTGACCTCCGACTCCTCCGGCCACGTCACTAAAAATAAAGAATGTAAACGCATTGCGTAAGCTGGCTATGCCTGAGCTAACATATTTATATTATTTCCGAACACCGTTGTGCTCCTGTAGTCTAGTGGTTAGAATAATGTCCGCATTTGCCGGAGGTGTTCGGTTCAATTCATGGTTGTGCAAACTTTTTCTCCTCCTTGGCAGGGTTAGGGTTTATCAACTACCTTTATGCACTATTGCCTTTCTGTAGTATCTTTGTCGACTATATGTATCACAGGTCTACAAATTTGAATACAAAATTTTGTTTTCCTATCTATACGAGCCACTTAGTCCCTAGTGGTTACTCTAACTAGTCGGACATGCGCCCGGAGGGAAGTCCGCGTTTGCCGGCGTCACATGACTTTCTTCTCGATATGGTATCTTTGTACATGTTTGCACGGGGGCGCAGTAAAGCTACCTGTCAGAAACCCCACGCAAATTGGAAAAATTTGTGTAAATCTCGAGATCCGACCAGCGAATCAGGGGCTATAGCGCCGGCAAGCTATCACTAAAAATTATAATCTCGCGAATCCGGAGCAATGGTTTACTACTGTTTTGGCCAGGAAAGCCATTCCTGGTCCCTGGTCATGTTTAGTACAGTCTCTCTAGTAATTGGAGTACCTATAGTAACATTTGGGTGCGCCAGGAAGCCCCTGAAAGGTAGTCGGTGAGATGACCCAAAATTCTGCCCAACCTGAGAAGTCGTGGGGAAAATAAGCCGACCTCATTTTCGGACATTCTCAGCTTGCCTGAGTCCGAATCTGAGGTCAGTTTCCCGCCAAAAAATTGGTTCGGCCGGAATTAACATTGTTGGTTGTACGCGACTGTAGTCCAATATTCAGTGTTGGTACTTAGATCGGAATTCTACGCCGATGTGAGGAACGAGCAGAGGCATAGAATATACTGTAGACTTTGTATGATCATGAGCGTTACACAGGTCACGGTGACTGCTCCTGCTCTCGATGGCGACGATATGCTTGCTCAAGTGCACCTACTCGGCCCTGATTTCTGTTTTCCCTCCCTGCCCATCCTTTTGTTTGATATGCTGCAGACTGTACAGATGCCTGGTAGCTTTCCTCTTTCCATGTTGTTTTTTCCCACTGGGTTTTCCAGTGGTTGAGAGGTTTTGAGGTACCCATGGCTTCATGTATCTTGCACAACATGTACCTACTACTGGGCTGTGGATGTGGTTTCCTAGGTGGGAGTCCCAGCTCAGCCGCAATCTCCTGCCAGGGGCCCATTCGTGGCGGAGAGCCCTTCAGGCTTTCTCTCATATGTACATGTATGCAACATGCCCACCCTCCTCCTACGGCCCTACGAGGACCCCTGATAATCAGTATGAATGCCTGATCCGGAGGTCCCATAAGTGGACCCTTTTTGTCTGGAAGAAATTTGCCAATTTTGACCCTTTTGTCCGGAGAAAAACAGGCATCACAGCGAAAGGTTCCCCTAAAGGGCAACTGTGGCGTGGGTACGTTCAAACGTAGGTTCTCCGGCAGTTGCTGGAGTAAATATGGTGCCGAAATGGCTGAGTCTGACCAAAACATCCAGAAAAAATCAGGCATGGTCTCCAGAACCGGCCAATTTGTCCGTAAAAATTCAGCCATGGAGGGGTCTAAACTCCCAAAATTTGTCCGGAACCTGATCAGGCATTTATATTTACAGTTGAGTCCCTCTTAACCCATAGTGGTCGGTGGAAGTTGATCTTACAACCGATAAGTTTACAGTATGACAGTACGGTCCCATGCAACGTAATATCAGTGATGCATAGCCATCCTTGCCACCACTTCACATGCGTGAAAGACCCGGGGCTCAATTGCTTTCATGAATCTCTGAGCCCCTTTCATCATTTTCACGAATATCTAATCCTTACATTCTGCATGTGAGGGAATGCAAGCGTGTACATAGGTGTACGTGCAAAATATAGTGTTAATGCGTTCCTCAAGGTATTGTTCCCCTCACCCTCTGAAGGGTGATACAAGGCAGCATCATAGAATAATGAGAACATAGTAATAGACACCACTGTCCTGATAGAGCCGCTGAGCGCTGAGAATTTCGAAGACAATATTTCAATTTGAAGACAAGAATTCGAAGCCCTGGTCTATGCCGCAGAGCTCACCGATAGGACTGTAAAGCGGCAGTTGGGACTGTAGACTTACCTTCATGAATCTAGCTGAATTGGGGGTCATTTTGGCTCAGTTGCCTGCCAAAACGACTTGCGAAAGGTATTCGAATGACATGTTTACAGTCCCATGGTGGGGCAATTTACAGTCCTGCTGCCGGCCTCGATTTGAATATGCACCATGTCGTCGCATCCGCTCTCTACTCACCCCTCCCCAAGCAGGCGTTGTTCTCAATGTGGTCAGGAAACTGTTATCCACCTTGCTATTGTCATGCGAGCATTCTCCAGCCATTGTTAGGAAGCGATGTCCTAACTAGTCGTCTTGAGATAACTGGGCCACGTGCCAACAGTTATGTTGTCACTACCTCAGTAAGCGTACTGAAAGGTAGGTCTGGCCGGGCCAATGCCAACAGTCAAGTCAAGAGTCCAGGTAATCGCTGTATTCAACAGGAGGTTGAACTAAGGAATACATGGGTTTTCCTACAGTATATATAGTAACTGGTATAGGGGTTAATACCCAAAGAAGAGAACAATAAGAAATAGGACGCGTAAGCTATCCTGTGAGAACATAACTCAGAGAAATGAGAAATACAAGGGCGCCCATTGGTAGAAAGTGAGTCAAGGGAGATAACGTTGATATGCACAGACACACAACAATCACCAAGGACCAAAAGAAATAAACCTAAACCCCGTGATATGGGTGAAGGCGGTCCGAGACAACTGAAGGGTATTTAATAGTTCGAGGGGGAAAGGAGGAGTAAGACGCCATAGGGTAGTCCGTAGGAAGACCTAGAAAAATAAAACAAAAACCTTGACACCTGAAACAAACACTAATGGACGCTCCGGAGTATTTATCTCCGGAAAGTCGCAAACAAAGTCGCAAACCACGGAACCGAGTGTAGGTTCGGGCCCACGGGAGTAGGAAACACTAGAAAGACTTGTTTAATTTTATTTCGCTATGTGAGACTCACTGGAGCTAATTGAATCGATGGCAGAGATAATTCACTCGACGAGTCAGGCCTATTGGCAAAGCTAGGATCGGTTATAATTCGCTAAGTTCGACGCTTTCGAACTTCTCGGGTCGCTGAGATCGTAACACTAATTCTCTGAGATGGTGAAGTCGAAACTTGTTTTTCTGTATGCTACTTTGTACAATTTATACAACAGGAATGGCTTTGCGACCGTCCGGAGATAAATAACAAATAAACGCCGCTACCCATAGGATTGCTCAGCACTTGCCGCTGTTATACCATACACCATACGACTCTCTTGCACTCCCACTTGCTCGTCCCAGCCCCTAGAGGTCGCCTCGACGTTCCGCCACCTGCCCTAAGCGGTCCCATCACTCTGCGTGATGCACCAGTCACGTGCTAATTACCTCCGGCCGCTCACTTACTGATGGTGGCCTCATGGTGACTCGTATGCGTCCGCACCTTCGGTATTTTGATGGAAACGAGAGAGGGAGTATGCTGGAGGGTGGGAATGAGGACGACACCCCTCGATGAAAGTGTCCGCGGGCCCCGGAGCTAATTCACCTAGAAGTCGCATAGATTAAGTCACCCCGGAGCTTGCATTTGCAGAGATAAATCGTGGAATGGATCCGTGTACGCCTCAAGGATGCTAGGAAGTCTGGAGCTAAATAGAGCAATTCTTTAGAGCCCATAGAAGCCTAGAGGCATGTAAGTGTTGTGTTGAATACGCTCCGGAGGGCTTGTACGATGTGCTGAGTCTGCGTTTTCGGGGGTCAGACGATCCTGAGGCTTATCAATGTGTGAGAAGAAGATAGCGTCCATGGGAAGGTCTACTCAGAGAAAGGTACTGTCCAATAGCAATGCTCAGAATGGCAATAGAATGAGATAAGCATGGGAAAATCATAACATTACCCCCTTCCTATGGTTGAAGTTTACCCAAACTTCCTAGTCATGACCGGTTACCAAACCATCCAGGTCCACAAGAGTGCCATCATTGTAGTCCTGCTCTTTGGTGGCTTCTTGGATAGCATTGTCCCAAACAGTTCGTTGAGGACAGGCAGATGGATAATGCCCTGGTTGAGTACGTCCACAGATGCGGCAGCGGAAGAGTCGGCAATGAGATTGGAAATGACCAGGCTGCTGACATGCCCAGCAGATATTGCCATATCTTCCTGTCATGTTGGTAGGCAGCGCTGGACCGTCGACATCAATGGGGTTTTCTCAGGATCCAGTTGGATGGATAATTGGATCAGGGGTTGGATGATGAGAGGTCGAATGGGAAGTCGCTGGGGTGGTCTCCTGGTTGGATGGGGGATTCTGATAGTCGACAGGTAGGAAGTCGCGAAGGGGAATGAGTAGTCCTCGATGCAGGAGGATATGAGTGAGTTGGAATGTGGTACGCTCCACAGTGTCGTAAGTGGACTGGAGTAGATCTTGTATTTGTGCATTCAGGTCGCACAACTTGGAGATTGTTTGAAGATCGTCCTCTAGTTCCAATATCTCCCTGGCAACACCTGCCCCCAGTGCATCTCGTCCTAGTTGTTGTCGAAGGGATGGGTCGTGGTAGTGTTCCGTCAAGGTTTGGTGGATGATACTGATAAAGTGGGGGTCCTGATCATAGGGGCAATTGCAAGGAGGACATTGAGAAGATGTGAAGGTGCACGAATCATTCCGTGAGCGAGACATGGTATGAGTTGTTGATGAGTCCTGCTAGAGATGGTTCCGGCTTTTATATTCTTGAAGTAGGCTCTTGGCGTTCTCAAGCACATGCTCAGGTTCCCATGAATTTTCGGCCGACGGGTACCCTTTCCATTTGACAAGGTACTTGCGGCGTGAAGTGCTCCCACGATGGGCTAAGATGGCCTCAACTTCATACTCTTCTTCGCCTTCGATATCATCAGGTGGGGGTTGGAGATAGTTCGGCCCGTGAGTGGAGTTCTCTCGATAACGTGAAAGGAGCAAGGGATGAAACACAGGGTGAATCTTCCAGGATTTGGGTAAGTCTAGACGGTATGAGAGTGGGCCTAGAACTTCCTTGATCTTGAATGGTCCTTCGCATTTTGGGGCGATCTTCCTGGATGGGTAATTGATCCGTAGGTTCTTGCCTTCTAGCCAAACCTTCTCTCCAACTTCGAATGGGATGAATCCTTGTCGGCTTCTATCGATCATCTTCTGTCGCGCCAATTCGTGCATGGCGATCGCTTCTTCCCTTGCAGCTTGTAATCGTTTAAGCCTTTCCTCTACTGATGGTAGCTCCGTATTGATTGTGACTGCGGGTATTGCTCGCGGATGATAACCCATCATGAGGTAGAAAGGCGATTCGTTCCTGGCTGAATGGGATCGCTGATTGTGAGCAAATTCCGCATCACAGAGTACTTCAGCCCATCCGTTGGGATTGTTGGCGCAGAATATCTGCAGATAGGTTTCCAGTTCTTGGTTAACCCTCTCAGTTTCGCCATCAGTTTGAGGGTGATAAGCGGTGCTGAGCTTGGATTTGATGCCTAGCAGCTTGCATGTTTCTTGGAATA